GGGCACACAGGGGGAGCTCAGCCCCACTCCCAGGCTGGGGTGGCACCCTGGCACCCGCTGCTGGGCTGGGCATGGGCACTGCCCATCCTGCCTCGGGGGTCAATGCTCATTTTGGGGTCTGAGGTTGGTCTCAGGGCTCAATGCTCATTTTGGGACCCGGAGTTCATCTCGGGGGTCGATGCTCATTTTGGGTTCCAAGGTTCATCTCGGCTCGATGCTCATTTCGGGGTCTGAGGTTGGTTTTGGGGATCGATGCTCTTTTCAGGGCCCGGGGTTCATCTCGGGGCTCGATGCTCGTTTCGGGGTCCGGCCTCGGGGGATGAGGCTCCCCCGCAGCACCGTTGTCATCCTCACCGTCTCTGCCAGCTGCCCATTGACAGTCGAGACACTCTCCCGCACAATGGGTCCGGCCAATCCCGTTACAATGGCACTAATTGCTAATCAGACCGATTTCACACTGCCGGCTCCCCTGACAATGAGGCTCGCCGGAGGAGGGCTCCGGGGGGGTGAGGGGCTCTGTGGGTGCCCGCAGCCCCCCCTCCGGCCTCTCACATGGGCACCGCCCTGGCACCGGGGTCTTCCAGCCTGGCAGAGCCTCCGGCAGCTGGCACGGGCTGGCACGGGCTCAGCCGCGTCCTGCCCTGGTGCCAGCCAGGCCGGGCAGGGGGTCCGGCGCACCTGCAGCCCCGGTGCCACCTCCAGCCCGCCCTTGTGCCCCCCAGAGCATCCCGGTGCCCTCGGCTGAGCTGCGGGGCCGGGCGGGGGTCCGCGGTGCGGGTGTCACCCTGGCATGGGTTGTGTGTCACCCCTGGCACAGGCTGGGTATCACTGCTGTCACAGGCTGTGTGTCACCCCCAGCATGGGCTGGCTGTCACCTCTGGCATGGGCTGGGTGTCATCCCCAGCATGGGCTGGGCATCACCCTTGTCACAGGCTGGGTGTCACTGCTGTCACAGGCTGAGTGTCACCTCGACATGGGCTGGGTGTCACCCCTGTCCCGGGCTGGGTGCCACTGCTGTCATGGGCTGTGTGTCACCCTTGTCACAGGCTGTGTGTCACCCCCAGCATCGGCCGGGTGTCACCTCTGGCATGCGCTGGCTGTGACCCCCAACACGGCTGTGTGTCACCTCTAGAATGGGTTGCGTGTCACCCCAAGCACAGGCTGGCTGTCACCCCCAGTACGAGCTGGGTGTCACAGGCTGGGTGTCACCCCTAGCACAGGTTGTGTGTCATCCCCAACACAAGCTGTGTGTCACCCCCGGCATGGGCTGTGTGTCATCCCCAGTACAGGCTGGGTGTCACCCCTGGCAGGGGCTGGCTGTCACCCCTAGCTGTGAGCCCAGACCGATGCCCTTGCCCGGTGCTGTTTGGGGTTTGGGCACCGGGGGCTGTGGGGCCGGGTTAGCAGTGAGGTCTGAGCCACAGGGACGGGCAGAGGGACAGGGGTACAGTGGCACAGGGTGACAGAGGGGACGGGCAGGGGTGATAGGGGGACAGAGGGGACGGGCAGGGTGGCACAGCGGGGCACAGAGCACAGCCAGCCCTGCAGTGGTGCTGCAAGAAGCGATGCAGGGCAGGGAGTGGTGCCAAAGGTGCCGTGGGTGCCCCAGGGCTGGCACCAGCCCCTCCTGACCCCAGGGCACCCCCTGCCAAGGCAGCTCTGTCCCCTGTGTGCCAGGGGGACGCTGCCAGGGTGCTGTGGGACGCTGGGTACCCGGGGGTGAGGCAGGTCCTGCTGTTAATCAGCTCCTGCCCAGCCCAGCCCCACTCCGTGCGCCCCGAGCCGCGGGCAGCCGAGCGTGTCGGGGTGCTAATGAGGAGAGAGCCGGGTGTGCTGCACCTTGCACTTAATTGCTGCTGGCTTCTGGCTCCTAATGAAGCTCGGCTGCGGGAGAAGCAGCAGCCTCTCCTCGTCTCCTCTGCCTCGGGCAGCCTGACCCTGCCAGCCCTGTGCCCTGCCTCGGGGGGTGTGGGGTGCCCTGTGCTCCCTCTGTGCTGGGAGGATGCTGAATGTCACCCCCGTGCAGCTGTGACATGCCCAAAGCCCATCCCCTGTCCCTGTGCTCTGCATGGCAGCTCCAGCCCTGCTGCAGCATCTCCTGCCTGCTGTGCTGGGCAGGCTGGCAGTGCTGCCAGGGAGGGACCGTGGCTGTGGCAGGGTCCCCACTCTTGCCAGGGCCCAGCAGGGACTGGGCATCACTCCTGCAAGCCCAGCTTGGCATCCCCAGCTCCCCACTGTCTGTGGGTGCAGGGCAGCACCATGGGGCTGAGCTGGCTGGTGGCCCTGGCCCTGCCAGGCATTGACAACCACTGCTGTGCTTCTGTCCCTGCTGCTTGGATGGTGGCTGGGTCCTGGATGGGAGCTTGGATCATCCTGTCCAATGATGGACAAGATGGGAGTTTGGTCCTGGATGGGATGGGAGTTTGGATCATCCTGTGGCTTAAGGAGAGCTGCTGGAAGGGTCAGGGGGATTTTCCCTGCCAGGAACGGTGGCTGGGTCCTGGATGGGAGCTTGGATCATCCTGTGCATTAAGGAGAGCTGCTGGAAGGGTCAGGGGGACTCTCCCTGCAGGGTTTGACTTGCTCTGCTGGAAGGTGGTGAGCATTGCTTGGGCAGCTGTGTCCCAACCACCCCCTGGGTGCCCTCCCCAGCCGTGCAGGAAGGGGTTAATGGCTGGCCCATACCTGCAGTTGCATTTTAAAGATGTGAAATTAAAGCCCGTAATTTATTCTCCCCACACACGAAGGAGCAATTAGTTCTAAACACGGCTTAATCAGTCAGTGCGAGATTGATTTCTGTAGACTTGGATTTGGTGGCTGCTGGCGAGGAGCCAGCCTGGGAGCAATCTCCAAATAAATGAAGTGCAGAGAAGTAAGCCATTACATAATATGATAGATGAGGCTGGAGCTCACTTGCCTCTTCATTAGTATTCCACTGTACACCACAGCAGCACCAAACTTTCTCCCCTCTTCCTCCTCCTCCTCCTCCTCCTCCTCCTCCTCCTCCTCCTCGTCCTTCTGCCCCTCCTGCAGCTGGGAAGGAGCTGCAGGAGGGGCAGAAGGACTGGGGAGGAGCCTCCAGCAGCCCCTGGCCAGCCCTGAGCCTTTGGGCAGAGCTGGGGAAGGGTCTCAGTGCTGCAGACTCTTCCCTGGGCTCTGCATATTGCCTTTTTCTCCTGGGGAAACTGAGGCACAGGGAGCTGGGGTGGCATCCCTTGAGATGCATGTCAGCAGCGAGAGGCAGGTGGCAGAGAACCCCAGGGTGGTTTGGGCTGGGAGGGACCTCAAATCCCATCCCATCCCATCCCATCCCATCCCATCCCATTCCACCCCATCCCATTCCACCCCATCCCATTCCACCCCAGCCACGGCAGGGCCACCTCCCACTGTGCCAGGTGCTCCAGCCTGGCCTTGGGCACTGCCAGGGCTCCAGGGGCAGCCACAGCTGCTCTGGCCACCCTGGCACAGCCCAAACCTCTCTAACCAGGCCTTGCCAGCCTACAAACCCCCTGTGGCAAATGGCACTGGGGGCACCTGGAACCAGCCAGGAAATCATTCTTTCCTTTGCTTTCTCCATTTGCTGCAATGGGTTTTGGTGCTGGTTTCCATCCTTGATTGAGGAATGGGAATGCCAGAGTGGTTTGGGTGGGAAGGGATCTTCAATGGCAGCTGATTGCAGGGCAGGGCCACCTGCCACTGTGCCAGGTGCTGCCAGCCCCAATGTGCAGCCTGGCCTTGGGCACTGCCAGGGCTCCAGGGGCAGCCACAGCTGCTCTGGCAATTCCAGCCCAGCCCCTGCCCACCCTGCCAGGGAACAATTCCCAGTTGCCAAGATCCCATCCAGCCCTGCCCTCTGGCACTGGCAGCCATTCCCTGCCTCCTGTCCCTCCATCCTTGTCCCCAGTCCCTCTGCAGCTCTCCTGGAGCCCCTTCAGGCCCTGCAAGGGCTCTGAGCTCTCCCTGGAGCCTTCTCCTCTCCAGGGCAGCACCCCCAGCTCTCCCAGCCTGGCTCCAGAGAGGCTCCAGCCCTGCAGCAGCTCCGGGGGCTCCTCTGGAGCAGCTTTAACAGCTCCATGTCCTTGCTGTGCTGGGGATTGCAGGGCTGGAGGCAGCTCTGCAGATGGGGTCTCGCAAGAGCCAAGGGGAGGAATTCCCCCGTTGCCCTGTTGGCCTCACAGGCGTTTGGGGACAAGGTCTCACATGGTGCCAACAGGTTGTTTGGGGCTGTGGTGGTGCTGATGTGCCCTGCACAGGGCAGGTGTCGGTGCTGAGAGTGGAGGGGAGCACATCAGGAGGGATGCCAGGCAGGGGAAAGGGCTTGGAGTCCCCTCCAAAGGGATCCCCTCTGTCTGTGGAGCTGGTGGGGAGCGGGCTGGAATCTCCACAGAGGTGCTGGCTGTGCTGGGAGCATCCTGTGGGATGTGCTGGCTACGTGGTGGCCTTGGGCTGGGAGGGAGGGATGGAGAAGCTGGGAGGGGCAGCAAGGGCTGTGACCCTCAGGATGTGGGAGGGACCTTCCAGCTGAGCTCTTCCAGCCCCAAACCCTCAGCTCTGGGGGATGGAGCCCAGATGGGTGCCTTGCACCTGCCATGGCAGGAATTGTGCCACAGACAGAGCTGGGAGGGAGGGATGGAGAAGCCCTGGGCCTGTGCATGGTCCTGACCCCATCACTGCATTTGTTCCCTCTTCACCTTGTCCCTCTGCAGGTTTCTGCCGGGGAAGGAAGGTCCCCTGGCAGCTGCCATGGCTGCTGTGGGTCCCTGGGAGCTGCCATGGCAGGAATTGTGCCCCAGACAGAGCTGGGAGGGCAGCAAGGGGCTGTGACCCCTGGGATCTGGGAGGGACCTGCCAGCCGAGCTCTCCCAGCCCCAAACCCTCGGCTCTGGGGGATGGACCCCAAGTGTCCCACAGTGTCCCACAGTGCCCTGTGGGCGTCCCTTTCCTTCGGAGGTGCCCTCCCTGCTGCTGACCCTGCCCCTGTCCTTGCTGTCCCCTTGCAGAACTCCATCCGGCACAACCTGTCCCTGCACACGCGCTTCATCCGCGTGCAGAACGAGGGCACGGGCAAGAGCTCCTGGTGGATGCTGAACCCCGAGGGCGGCAAGACGGGCAAGACGCCGCGGCGGCGCGCCGTGTCCATGGACAACAACAGCAAGTTCCTGCGCATCAAGGGCAAGGCCAGCAAGAAGAAGCAGCTGCAGGTGACGCAGGAGCGCGGCGAGGACAGCCCGTCCTCCCAGCAGCCCAAGTGGTCGGAGAGCCCCGCGTCCCACGCCAGCGACGAGTACGACGCCTGGGCGGACTTCAGGACGCGGGCCAGCTCCACGGCCAGCACGCTGAGCGGGCGCCTCTCGCCCATCATGGCCAACCACGAGCCGGACGAGCTGGAGGAGGACGATGGCACCCCCTCGTCGCCGCTGATGTACCCCAGCCCTTCCAGCACCATGTCTCCTTCCCTGAGCGCCCGCTGCTCCGTGGAGCTGCCCCGGCTGACCGACCTGACCGGCACCATCAGCCTGAACGAGAGCCTGGGGGAGAGCATGCTGGAGGACCTGCAGGACGGCTACAGCATGAGCCCCTCGCAGCAGCTCCCCCCGGCCGCCCTGCGGCAGAGGAGCTCCAGCTTCACCTTCAACTCCAAGTGCTCCAGCATGGGGGCCGCCTCCAACACCTACTGCGGGACCATCTACAGCCAGCCGGCCATGGGCCTCATGCGGCGCCTGCCCATGCAGACCATCCAGGAGAACAAGCAGGCCACCTTCTCGCCCGCCAGCTCCTACAGGAACGCCTCGCTGCAGGACCTGCTCTCCTCCATCTCCTACGCGCACAAGGAGAGCATGGTCCCGGGGGAGCTGCCCCCGCTGCCGCAGGCCAGCCCCATGGTGCCGGCCCGTGGCCACAGACACAACCCGCTGCTGTGCGGGGCTGGGGAGCAGGCCCTGTCCTCCTACCCGCCCCACCCGGGCTCTCTGATGAAGAGCAACGCCCTGTACCACCCGTCACCAGCCGGCCACCACCCTGCGGTCAGCACCAGTGCCTTAGCCAATCCTGTCAGCCTTATGAGCCTGCCCAGTGAGTCGTGCAGCATGACGGCCGTGCCGCACCACCACGGGCACCTGCATCCCTACGCCAATAGCCAAGGGGCACACATGAGCCTGCTGGATTCGCTGCAGGGCCCCTACCCGGGGGCCGTCCACCCCCCCGTGTTGGGCCAGGACAGGTTCCCAGCAGACCTGGACCTGGACATGTTCAACGGGAGCCTGGAGTGCGACGTGGAGTCCATCATCCTCAATGACTTTATGGACAGCGATGAGATGGATTTCAACTTCGACTCGGCGCTCCCGCCGCAGAACGGGCTCAACGTGCCCGCGCTGCCCGGGGGCCCGCAGCCCACGAACCAGAGCTGGGTGCCCGGGTGACCCTGCCCCTGCTCGGGCTCGCCACCGGGAAGCCACCAGGGGAACATTGAGACTCACTGTTTTTTTTTCCTTTCTCTTCTGCCTTTGTTTGTTAAGATAGGCGAGAGCCATCGGTCTGAGCTTAAGGTCGAACACGAAACACAAACCGGAGGGTGAAATGTTGGATGAGGGAGGACACCCAGCCCCAGGTGTGCCAGGTCCTGCCAGCATCCTTTGGAGGACACAGGGCAGGTGGGAGGGAGAGGCAGCTGGAGCCAGGCAGATCCAGGGTGGTGGCAGGAAGGGAAAGCCTTTCTAGACAGTCCCAGTGCCCCGTGGTGCCAGCTGGGTTTGTCCTTGGGCTGGGGGACAGAGTGGTGATGGCTGGTGCTGTGGGACCCCTGGGGAAGAGCTCTTCTCTGAGCCACCTTGGGAAATGAGTCCTCTGGGCAGAAGTGTCAGGAGTGGGGACCCTGCCCCAGGGCAAGGGGGGGCTCGTGGCCCCTCAGTCCTGGTGGAGATGGGAGCTCTGCTGAGCCCACACCCCCAGGCCAGCTCTGCTGGGTGTCCTGGTGGCTGCAGGCAGGGTTCCTGACCGAGCAGTGAGCAGGGGGTGGTGATGATGTGCAGCCAGCAGCCCTGGAGCAGCACCTGGCAGCCCTTGGGGGTGCAGGAGAAGCTGCAGCCCCTGCCCAGAGCAGGCTGGGCACGCTCCAGGGGGGTCCTGGTGGCAATGAGGGACCCCTGGGCTGGAGGCTCAGGGGCAGCTCGCAGGGGCGGGGAAGGGGAAGTATTTATTTGATTTCATGCACTCTTTTGCCATTGAGTTTTTGCATTGGAAGGAAGAAAAGAGTTGAGCTTAGGGAGAGGAGAGAGGCCATGGGTGATGTGTCCCATCACATGGCTCATCCTGGCTTGGCTGTGGGGGTGTTGGATGTTGGGGTGGAAGCTGGGGGCTGTGATGTGGGCCACCCTCCAGGAGGGGCTCTGTGTGTGTGAGGAGGGAGGGATGTGCTGGCCCAGGCCTCTGGATGCAGCGTGGGGTCCATCCTGCTCCAAGCTGGGGTGACCCACGTTGCTCAGGGAGGTGCCACGGGGGCTCCTGGGGGCGTCAGCGCCACCATGGCTGTCCCAGTGTCTCGCTGCCCACCCCTGGGGTGCCAGGAGCTGTCAGCAAGAGGGGTGCTCCATGGGCGTGAGGACCACAACTCACGCGTGGTCCTGCTGTGTGTCAGGACCCCAGACTGACCCCACTCCGTGGGGCAGGAGAGGGCCAGGGGTGTCCCAGCAATTCCACACTGCAGCAGGGTTGGGAGGGGGTCAGGCTGGTGAGCACCTGGTCTGGAGAGGATGGAGGGGCTGGGAGAGGGAGCTGGGAGCTGCTGCTGTGTCCTGTGGGGTCTCTGCTCAGCTTTTCTGCTCCTGGGCACCACAGGCTCTGTGTGACCCCCGGCCCCTGGTCAGTGCACAGAACCAGCACATTTTCCCAGCCCAGCTCTTCCTGCCCCAGAGCTGGGTCCCAGCCACAGGTCAGGGAATGGGGACCCATGGGTGGCACCTCCTGCTCCTCTCCTGACCCACATGGCTGTGACAGAGGAGCCCTGTGTGCCACTGCCACCTTCACCCAGGGCACACGGCAGGCACGGTCTCTAAAGACATCCTTAGAAGTTAATTAATTATGTTTACATTATTTGATCATGTACAGAATTTAATATATTCTATTATATATAATCTTTCTTGAATGCTTTTTTTTAAAAAAGGATTATTTGGTCAGGATCATTACCGCGTTCCTTTTATAAACACCACCTCTCCTTTCAGGCATCTTTCAAATCCTTGGAAACTGATTGCAAATGGCTCTTTAACCCCTGAACCCCCAGTTCAGCACGTGGTGTGAGGGACCCAGAGGCAGGAGCAAACTGGGGCCTCTGCCCCCCAGGAATGGGAGAAACGGAAGGATTCCTGGCTTTTCCAGGCATTTGACCTCCAGGAAAGGGAGAAAGAGATGGAGTCCTGGGTTCTCCAGGCATCTGCACCCCAGGAATGGGAGAAAGGGAAGGATTCCTGGCTCTTTCAGGCATCTGACCTCCAGGAAAGGGAGAAAGGGAAGGGTTCCTGGTTCTTCCAGGCATCTGCCCTCCAGGCACACATCCAGCAGCACACCAGCATGCCGGGCAGCAGTCGGGCAGTTGGGGATGGGATTCTCCCATGCTGGGGTCCCTGAGTCCCCTCCGGTGTCACAGACACTGGCTGGCCATCAGTGTGATGGGGGAGCTGCCCCAGCAGCAGGAGGGAAGTGTCCCCAGCACTGGAGGGAGGTGTCCCCTTAGGGCAATACAACATCCCCGTGTCCCCAGCACTGGAGGGAAGTGTCCCTTTGTCCCCAAACTGCAGGAGAGAAGTGTCCCTGTGTCCCCAGCAGCAGGAGGGAGGTGTTCCCAGCACAGGAGGGGAGTGTCCCTTGTCCCCAGCACAGGAGGGAGCTGTCCCCGTGCCCGCCGTGCCGCCCCGTGCCCCTGCCCCGCTGCGTGGGCACGGCCCCTGGCCAAGCTGTGTCGTGGTTCGTGACCGTGGGGTTGTCGTGTGTGCGGTGCAGTCGTGTTGGTAACGTCAGTCAGTCAGTCAGTCAGTCAGTCAGTCAGTCGTGTGGTCAGTGCCCTGCGGGGCGAGGGGCGGCAGGGCGGCTGTGGGCACCCCCGGGGGGGCTGCAGGGCTGGGTGGCACAGCTGGCCCTGCCACAGAGCACCAGGGCAGGTGGGCTGTGGTGTGCAGGTGGGAGGTGGTGATGGACTGGGGGTGGCTGGCATGGCTGTGCCCCCCCGTGACTGTCACTGTGGGGAAGGGGACACCCTCCAGGGCTTTGTGTCACTGCCTGACGCTCTGGGTTCCCTCTCTGCAATCAGCCACCCCACATCCCACCTCACTGATCTCCATCCTCTCCATCAGCCATTCCCCTCTGTGACCAGGATCTCCCTCCCTGCTCCCACCCTGCCCTGCCTGCAGCCAGTGTGGGGGGACACCCAGGACCCCCCAGTTTGCTTCCCCTGGCGGTTTTGGGTCCGTTTCCCTCGTATTTATAACTGTACAGACTGGGGGGGAGGGTCTCATCTCTCACACACATTTATTGTAGGCAATGGTAACTTTCTTGGTTGTGCTATTAGAGTTTGTGTATGTGGCAATGTAAAGAACTGTGTATAGTGCATTGTACAGCATATTTTCATGAATAAAATTGTTTTAAATATTACAAGGTGGGGCTGCTGCTGCTGTCAGTGCTTGTGTGTGTGGCTGAGATGGGGAATGGTGCCCCCAAAGAAGCTGGGGAACATGGGAGAGTGACCAAGGGGGAGATGGGATTTTGGTGAAACTGAGCTTGCACCCAGAGCGTGGGGGTGGTTGGGCTGTGGAGGTCATAGAACCATAAAATCATCATAGAAAAGGAGCCTCAGGGGTGCCCTCATCAATCTCTGCATTACCATCCTGTGTTACATTTTAAACCCTAAAAACTCCTCTTTGGGCCCCTTCTGCCAAGCTGGCAGGGTCTGCTCTGAGCCTTGGGCCTGTCTGCAAGCAGAGGGGATTGTTTGATCCAAAGGGGATCACCTTCAGCTGGCCATGCCATTGTTTTCCAGTTGTTCAGTAACTGAGGGATCTCAAAGCTTGCTTTCATTTCAATCTCGCTTAGAGTTCCCATATTCTCAAAATCTTTTGCCAGGCAATCACATTTATAAGGCTTTCCTGTTTCATCTTCCCCACCAGCTCAGCCCAGCCCAGCCTCTGACCTCTCCTGCCCAACCTCTGGCACAAATCAGATCCCAGCCTCACAGCAGGCTGCCAGCCGGGCTCCCACGGGGGCTGTGGGCTGCTGGTGGTGTGGTGGCATTCAGAGATGGCTCTGGGAGAAGGTCAGAGCGTGCAGAGCAGGCACAGGCTGTCAGCACTACTGAGCCTCTGCACGGGGACAGCCAGGGATGCAGAAATGGGGTTCTGCCTGGGGGTGCCCAGCACGGGGGGAGGGGGGGGGCTTCAGTGCAGGCAGGAGAACCAGGACAACCAGGAGAACCAGGAAATCATCCTGGAGTGCTGTGTCCATTTCTGCCCCCTCAGTTTGGGAAGGACGTTGAGATGCTCAAGGGAATCCAGAGGAGACAACAAGGCTGGAGAGGGGCTGGGAACACAAACCCTGTGAGGAAGCCCTGAGGGAGCTGGGGGTGCTCAGCCTGGAGAAAAGGAGACTCAGGGGTGCCCCCATCACTCTCTGCAGCTCCTGAAAGGTGCCTGTGCTCAGCTGGGGCTGGGCTCTGTCTGCAGGCACTGACAGAACCAGAGCACACAGCCTCGAGCTGCCCCAAGGGAAATACAGGTTGGATATCAGGAAAAGGATTTTCACAGAAAGGATGATAAAGTTCTGGAATGTTCTGCCCAGAATTCCCAGAATCACTGGGCTGGAAGAGACCTTCAAGATCACCGAGTCCATCCCAGCCCCAACAGCTCAACTCAACCCTGGCACCCAGTGCCACATCCAGGCTTTGTTAAACACCCCCAGGGATGGTGACTCCACCACCTCCCCGGGCAGAACATTCCAGAACCTTATCACCCTTTCTGTAAAAATCCTTTTCCTGATATCCACCCTGTATTTCCCTTGGTGCAGCTTGAGGCTGTGTGCTCTGGTCCTGCCAGTGCTGCCTGACACATTTCTCTGTTCTGGCAGATAACACTTGGGAGGTTTAACTGCAGAGTGTGCAGATTTCTGCCCCTTTGGAGACAGCAGCCCCTGTGTGGCCACCAATGCTCTCTGTGCTGCACCAGCTCCCTCTGCACATCCCCTTGCTTCCATTCGCTCTGGGATGAGCCTGAGGGATGCAGCCCACAGGCACTGAGTTATCCCTGAGGGGATGATGCCTTGTGAAGGCTGAGCTAGAACAGAGACCAGACACAGCTAAAGAATAAAGCAGGGATTTATTAAAAGGATCCTCCATGGATCCACCTTGGGCAGCACCAGAGCCCAGCCAGGGCTGCACCCAAGATGAACCAAAATGGTCACAAAATGAACCCCAAAATGGTCACAAAATGAACCCAAGATGAACCAAAATGGTCCCAAAATGCACAACCAGTCATGGGATCTCCCATTTTTTTAAGTTCTGCTCCATTTGCATCTTGGGGTTAATTGTCCAATTCCAGCTTTAGCCCATGCAGTCCCACCCTGCTTGTTTTTCTCTCTCCAGCCCACGGTGTTTGTGCTCCTGGGCTGAGATTTGGATCATTTGTCCTTGGTCCCCAGCTGGAGCAGGAATTGTTTTGTCTCCCTGCTCTGTGCACAGAGCTCACCATCCCATAATGTGAAGCCCAGACCCACACACTAAAGCAGGATCTGAAAAATATGAAAAAACAAAAGCTAAACCTGAGGCATCAGGGGCAGGAGCCCCCACATCTGCCCCTGGAGCATGAGGAAGGGGACAGGCACAGAAGGGTGCAGACAAAGCAGGAGCAAAGCCTTCAGGAGCACGTGTCTGTCATAAGATAGTCCCCAGCAGAAATCTTGGAAACCATAGAAAGAGTTTTTGCTCAATGTTATTAATTATGGCAAAAGAATCCCCATATGGAAAGAGAAACAGTCGAGTTATATTTTTGCTAAATACTTGGCACCATATGGTAACATACAGAGAATTGGCCACATAGGCAGCCTGCAATATATGTTACCATATGTTCATATGTACTTTAGAATTTCTTTGTTTTTGAAAAAGGGCATTGTCTTGTGGGGCAAAAATGAGCAGCCCACCTCAGGGAGGAGGAGAAACAGCACAAGCTGCTCGTGCTGAATGAAGCCCAAGGAAGGAACCCAGCCACCTGGCCTGGGGCTGCCAGGAGGAGCCAAACCAGGGCAGGCAGAGC